CAGGTGATCGTTTTCTCAAATGTCGTGCAAAGTTATGGTATTGTATAAAAACCGCTATCGCCGTTCCCCTGACGCTCAAAAGAGAAACGAAAGGCTGACACATGTTTTTTAGTTCAGCCCGGTTTTCTCACCTCTACATCGACGAACAACGTCCAAGTCCTGCTGGATACACAATGTCCGGTTGCTTCGTTCGGTATAAATACCCCAACATGCCACACTCATGCCGCGCTCATATTGTAGCAAAATCCACAACTTGACGGTCGAAAATATGCGAGACTACATGTAGTTGGTAACCCCGGGTGGCTTGACATTCTCCAACATCCGGCTGGACAGCTTTCGTCCGGCTACGCAGCAATTTATCTGGGCGCCCGCTCTTTGCGGCTGCACGGCAACATGAGCACACGCGCGTCACCCAGTAAGTCAGAGGAGCACCTGTTGAACTGTTCGGGGCAACAACCAATCCATAACTCGGTAGAGGCGAAGAACTTGATTATGTATAACCTGATTATTCTAACAGCAACAACAACAACAACACACGAGCCTAGCCGTGCTTGGATCCCGTTCCACGAACTTACTTTCATACCCCCGTTCGACGCGCTCGTTTTCTTGTTACGGTCTGCGAAGAACCATCGATTCCATTTCTTCGCCTGGCTGCTGGCATCATTAGCAGCAGCTTTCCGCCGGAACAAGCCCATTACGTTGTCCCGGGTCATCGACGCCAACTCCAGTCGCGCGAATGAGCTAGTAACACGAAGATGCTGTCTAGTTTGTCCTACTCACACATATGTTCGACGAGGTGTAGTTATGGCATGCTATAGTCTGCAATGCTGGTCTTGCGCCTGCTCAACGAGACAAGTGTGAATCTTGAACGATCGCCCTAACAGGCTGACCAATGGAAATACGCCAGTCTTTAGGCGGAACAATATAAGCGAACTGCCTTCAAGGGGTTCTGCCAACGGGGGGGCGCAGGAGTCCGACGTTCCTGCTTCTGAATTACGAGGAGAAACCGCAATTACCATCAAGCAGCATTGCTGCTTCATCATGTGCTTCTCCCATGCCATGTACTGAGCATCATCTGAGCATCATTGCCCTGTACTGGGTTGTTGTTGCCTCCATGCCTCTGGAACTAGGCTCTGCGGCCCCAGTATCACGACTGAACTATTGGATGTGAAATATTGTAACATCCCCAATGACATCCCGAGGGGATATGGCATGGATGGTTGAAGAAACGGGGCTCCACGAAACGGGCATCACGAAGTTCACTCTTTCATTCTTGCCCGTGGTCGTGTTCATAGAAAAAAGTTTCAGGTGTTCCACGTCGCGGCGGGAAAACCGAGTCCCGACTCCCTCCAACAATGTGTTTCACTGCCGCAACCCTACGTGACAATTCACTCATTCTTTCCATTGCTTCATTCTTACCCAGGGTTCGGTGTGGTGTGAAACCGTGGCCCAACCCCGGCCCGCTTGTCTTCTTGGTTGGATGCCATCAGAGGCAGATATGAAATCACGAAATCGCGGGGCGTCGTTGCCAAAACGCTATGGCACTGTCACCTGCGACGTGGCTTCCTCGTCGAGGAAACCGTCATCCAACTACCCTATACTGTTCAGCTTCAGTCGACACAACTGTTGAAGAATTGTATGTGAACATCATACGGGATTTGTGTGACATTCCAAGGAAAACAACACGGATCGTTATAACATGAAGCTTCACGGGAACGGGCATCACGCAGTTCACTCTTTGCCCATGGTTTTCATAGTGGGGATTTTCCGTGTTCTCCGTCCCTTTGTGAAACCGAGTCCTGCTCCCACACACATGTCTGCGAGTCCTACTCTCACACACATGTCTCTCTGATTTGCATGCCATTAGACGAATGAAATCGCGGTACTTCGTTGCCAAATATCTGTTTCACTGCCAGCGGCGACGTACTTAGCTGTTAGTCGAGGGAACCCATCATGCATGACACAAAACTCTGCGGCTTCAGTAACACGACAGTGTTGAAGCGTTGGATGTGAAATCATGACGAACGATTGTGACATCCCAAGGGAAAATGGTATGGATCGTTGAACAAGTAAGGCTCCACGGAAACAGGCATCACGAAGTTCACTCCTTCATTCTTGCCCATGCTTTTCATAGCAAGGTTTTTCGATGTTCCACAGCCCAGTTTGAAAATCGAGTCCACACTCGCTTCAGCAATCTGTCTCACTGTCGCACCCCAACGTGACTACTTTCACTCTGTGATTCTTGCCCATGACATTCATAACCAGGGATTTATGTCGCAAGTCCCGTCGTGAAATCGAGTCCACACGCCCACACACATGTATCCCAGGTTGGGTCCTACTGCATCAGACCTACGAAATCGCGGGGCGCTGTTGTCGAAGATCACTGCTACTTTCGGCTTCGACTTCGCCGACGGTCCATGTCGTTGTCGGCTTCGACTTCGCTTCCTCGCGGACGGAACCGATATGCATCTGAATTCAAATGCTCTATGGCTGCAGAAACACGACACTGTTGAAGAATTTCATATGAAACTTACACGGAAACAATACCAATATCATGTGGCACCCAAGGGAAATGGTATCTCGGTCGTTGAAGAAATAGAGCTCCAAGGAAACGGGCATCGCGAAGTTCACTCCCTATCTCTTGCCCATGATATTCATGGCAAGGTATTCCGTGCCCGACGTCGTGCTTTGAAAACCAAGCACCGACTCCCTCCAACAGGCTACTTCACGGTAATAACCCTACGTGACAATTTTGGCTCTTTGTGTTTTCCCATGACAATAATACCGAGGGCGAAGTCACTTTGCGAAACCGAGTCCCCACTCCCACACACATGTGGATCCCATCAGAATTATGAAAACCCGGGGCATCGTGGCCAAAGATCTCTATCAGTGTGGGCTTCGATGTGGCTGCCTCGCGGAGGGAACCGATATGCATCTGAAATGAAATGATGCGCCTTTTATTTCAGCATGACAATCACTGTTGAAGAAGTGAAAATTCTGCGAAACAACGTGACAATCGAGGGGAAAATCGTACCGATCGGCGAAAAATGGGGCTACACGAAAGCCGTGTGCGGCAATTTTCACTCCTTCTGTCTAATGAAGGGTTAATCCCCCCTGCTTCCATGCTTTGGTGGTTAGCACTGGGGGCTGCCCGTTCCCCTGTCTCCCGCAGGCAAGTTAAGACAAGTTGCGGCCCGTGCGCCCACCTCTCAATCCACTAAAATATACTCCGTATGGCCGCACCACGACATCCATTTCACAACCAAGCAATATATTGGCTACTCCGTTACACGTTCACAGCAAAACATATTATCAGATAAATTCTTTAGTATATAAGATGGTCACCAAACTGTGTTGTTGAGTCTGTTACCCAAAGGGAAAATATCGCTGTATGATGCTCAGGGAATCGTTAATCATCAAGCACTGTGCCCTTTGCTAATTCATACTATACCAGCATATCCTGGGAATCATCTGTCTGTTAAATTTGCGAGAAGAGAAAAAGAAAATTGTGGGACACGATCACGGTCCGCACGACAGGAATCAGCACCATACGCTTGATCTGAACGCAATACCGATAGGTTAATTGTGCGGGAATAAGTAGCAGCCTCGAACGATTTCGCTTTCTCGACACCCACAGCCGGAGTCGCTTTCTGTTCTGTAGCCGCCGGTCCACCGGCACTCATATGTGATAAATATTTTCGGTGCTTGTGCACACGGTGCTTTGCAGACCTACACGAAGTGAATCGATGAATAGGAGAGGACATTCACGTTGTTGGCAGTGCAGCAGGCGGCACGGAACCATTGCACTGCCTTCCAAAAGGGATCGGACATTGCTCATCGAAGGGGAGGTAAAGGGATACAGACATAACACCCAGTTTGGAACGATTGCGACCAAATACGTTCCTGATTTCCGTCCATAGGTCTGGAGTAGAAGGACGTAATATTCTGCGAGCAAGAGCGTCTCTCATGCTGTGAACTAAGTTCGTACGTCAATAGGCCACAGAATCGAGGGCTAGGTCGAGTTCATTCGGTTTGTCACTGAAGTCGAGGCAATGAAACTGACATTCATTGCCTTCTTTCCCCATGATATTCCACCGGATATCGGCGAAGGGTGCCGCCCGGCTCTGAACATTAAGGAGGCAACACAACATGCCGTCAAGCACAGCGCGGCGCACGTCATTACCAAGAGAACATGCTGAAAACAGGTGTTCTGTCGCTGTTCCTTGTAAGACGAAAAAATCACCTACTTCACCTATTTAGTCCACGCCACGTTAACGTCATAGGTATGACGGCGATAGCACCCGACGCATGTACATATTAACCTGTAATGTACGTGTCAAATATACCACACAGTACTCCCAGCATCCTCCACCCGACACGTCAGTCCCGTGTGTCCCACGGTTCTTGCAGAAAACCTTTTCTCCCCTCCTCGAAAACGTTGTCTAGAATATGAATTTGTGGCTCTGGGAACGAGCTACTCCAACCTTAGCCACAGGGACTTCATCGCACAACTCCCAGAATACTACACGCAAGCAAGAAATGACGAGCGGTACCCTATTCTATCGAATCCAAGCATCACAGCTGCGACAGAGCATTCATTGCCAACGCTGTCACAGCGGACCGCAAGATTGGCATGATCCCCTGGGAAGTACACGAGGAACTCAGGAATGTCGGGTACCAAACCAACCTTCATGAACCCCCGATAAAACCTTCCCCGCGCCCGCCACTGCAATGGCAAACACGGCCTATCATTCGATTATCATTGCACCAAACAGCTGGGGTGCTGGTCGAGATGTTCGAACCTACGACCCAGACCCAACACCATCCAATAGCGTGTTTTCCTCTCCCACCACCGAAAAACACGAGGATGAACTCTTGAGCGTTTGGAATGGCTCAATCACAATCGATAGACACCAGACAAAGATGAACTTCCTGGTACACGTCGAACTACTGTACCGCAAACAACACAACAGCCAGGAAAACACTTGAGGAATTCTCCTCTATCCCCCACGCCCGGGCTCCTCTACGGGTTGTTCTGAGCCCTTGTTCAATTCGGCGAGGTGGGAGGTAAACTGGACGAGAAAGTCCATGTCTTCCCTGCTCTCAGGGTCGACCGCCAGGAGGGACGGGAGTACGCCGACAAGCTGATTTTTGGGCAAGGCGACGAGGACCAGCGGGAAGAAGAGCAACATCGCGGTACATCTTAGCAAACCCAACAAGCCATGCCGTTCATGCAAAACACGCCCATCTTGTCACTCTCTTGCTCATTTCATTCATCGCCACTTGATGCGGATCTCGCGAGGTGTAACGTTCCCTTTCGAGATGTTTCAGACGAATTGGCCGCAAGCAGTCACAGACTGTCCTCTACAAAATGGCAAATCGGGCTGACGACGAAACGCGAGTCGTGCATGGCGCCTTGAAATGGATAGCGAGAGAGAGAACGATTTATCAGCTGCGTTGGTCACGATTCAACGGGCGGACGGCACGCTACTGCATTCACCTTCTCGGACGATTCAAGCGTCAGGTCAAACTTGTCCGGTGAAAGCCACGCCACGAAAGACCCGTCTGCCATCGTCCTCCTGGAAACCTCGAACTACCGAGGCACAACAAGGCAGTGAATGAATGACGGGAGTGGAAGGGGGTCCTCTCAACATTCACATGGCAATGAACCACGAACACAATTGGAGCCGAAACGCACCTCCTTCTTCCTTCTACCCTATACTCAAGGCTATTCCACGCGGAGGGAACGGAGCAACCGCTTCGGCGTTTACTGGGATTCCATACGAACGTGGTAACTACCAACCGGGCGAGCCAGGGGCAAAAACCACATCAAACAATGCGGGACCGTGGCTAGCAGGAACAACACCCCTGGCACACACAACGACATGACGGCAGAGTACCCTCTTGCCAACGGGGTGCGTACCTCCAAGAGTTTGGTCTCGTGCGAAACATCCTGGCCGAGTCTAGTACGTTCCAGGAGGACTTCCAGCCTAGCGGTCTCGTCAGCCGTTCTGAGCTCCTGCGGTAAGGTGCGTGGCGAATTCACATAAACGTTCATGTTTCACGTTCTCAGGTAGGAACGCAATGGGACTGAAGGGCTTGGAAATCAATAAGGTATTGCGCAGAAACATGCAGTAGCTCGTGCTCACCTGTCTTGTGCCGACGCAAGTTCGATGCACTCTTTGCCGGGCAGCAAAGTACCCCAGCTGTGAACAACCAGCGGCAGAGCTACGTTGAGGCTCGTTTTACGAAGAGAATGAACTCTTGTGTTTGTGGCGCTGGTGGCTGGAATGACCACATCCAACGGGTTGAGCAGGCGTATTCCACACAGCAGTGAAGATACCACCGACGTTCATACAGAGTTCGTTGGCGCCAACCCACCCATTCGGTACAAAACCATCCAGTCCAAAACACACCAAATACTATTGCGGACAACAACGAGCGAACAGGCCACCAGCGGATCTCATGTGATCGCAAGGAGAGCATTTTCAAAGGGAGCCATCTGAACGAAAACAGGACCCCGGGACAGCAGTGTGCGGTTGCGCGCAGACACTTTCCCTCCGGGTGTGTGGTCGTACAATACCGTGGACTGACTTCATCTGCACTGCTCCTACCTGCTGCGTGAAGAGGTTTGAGCACCTCCGCTCCCTCTTCAAGCAAACCATCAAGAGCACGACAGCCACCGAAACCACGTCTTGCGCCGGTGCACCCAACACTGGATCCGCCGACATGGTCTCGAAGGCCATGGCCCCCGACGTGCCCATTCCCCCCGGACACCTCTCCCCGATTTCTGTTGGTGTTTGACATGTTTGACATGGTGAACCGAACAGCGCGACACGACACGTTTTCGGCGGTTGGCATGAGGGTTGGGAGCAGGATAACTTGAGGGGAGTAGAAAAACATGCCCATGTATTGCACCTTGCATGAGCTGCCGTCCAAATCGTGTAGTCTTGAACGAACGGTTCACTCAACAACGCCCAAAGGCCCAACCGGTTTCATTCATTAGCGGTCGCCAGGAGCGCTATTGCCGTTCGGAGGACACACATATCTCCGACCAAAGCCAAACACTGATTTCGGAAAGGATACCATACGAGCACGGCCTGCACCCGGGGAATACGCACAAGCGGCTTTTTACGACGTTCTGCATCAGGGGGATATTTGTACTGATGACAGCCCAAAGCGGATTTTGCCGTCAGACCAGAACGGCTCACGGTTGGGACAGCAGCGGGGGAACAAACAACCTCACCTGCGGCGAACCCGAAATCCGCCAGCTTGGCATGCAGCCCATGCTCCTCAGACTCAAACACCAAGACGTTTCCCGGCTTGATATCCCGGTGAACCAATCCCATGGAGTGCATATGGTGGGCCCCTCTCGCAAGGTCAACCACCAGCCTGCAAAGACAACGAAGGTAAACAACGGTAAGGGAGGAAGGAATGAGTCAGCGACCAGTCTTGACATAGTTGGTAGCACTGCAGAACTCGGGGAGGCTGAATCGACTTGAACACACCAGCTGGATGTCACGGACGGTTTCGACAAAAAGCACTGTCTACGCCGTCGCAGTCAAGGTGCTATCGCCATCAGCCCAGCAGCTTCCGCCTTGTCACGACGCACCGACGATCAATGCGTTCGAAGTAGGTTACAGCTTCAAACCTTCACACATGGTGTGGTGGAACATTGCTTAGGAACGGCAGACCAATCGTCATCAGTGGGGCAGCATGCCAGCGTGTAGCAGGGCATCTCGCCTTAGTTTGTCCCCAAGGCCATGGGTGTCGGAGTTGATGTACGACCCCAAGTCGCACCGAGCTTTGGGTAATAGTATCGGCATCAGGTCGCTGTCGTCGTCCATTGACAGCGCACCGAGCACATTTTGGTGAGGGGTTCGCGCCAGCCTGGGGAACAAGCACGAAACGGAACATTTCATGTAGGGAAGTGTCGCATGGAAATGGACAATATATACAGCCCGTGAAAGGTGTAGCCTTGAGGAGGACATGGACTTACGACAGCATTCTACGGTCGGGCCAGGTCTGATGACAAACATCACATGGTTGTAGAGGCGTTGTCGGTGCGGACGCTAGACGCACGGCATGGAATGGGAGCGCCACCCTCGCCACCAAAGTACATTTGGGACGACCGACGTACTGTACTGGTGGCACTCGTGTGTGTGCAACGGCAGGGGACGTCGTCCTTACACAAACAAAGAAGCACGCGCGACTCATGCCCGTATACAGTTCGCACTCGACGCCTTCGGCTTCCCGCGGCAGTCGCGAGGGCATCCCCGCGATTCCTGCTGCCATGTCAGTGAATGATTTGATCTATCCCTCCCAGTACCCTGGCGTGGAGAGCAAACGCGCAAATCCCACATCCCAAACGTCCAAACACAGGTCCTCTCCCATGGTGCAATCTCAATCTCACCGTGCGAACACCGTCATCTCCACCAACGCACAGAACCTCGCCGACATACTGGCGGCCTGGACGAGAGAGGTCGCAAGGCAAACGGGGTGTGAGGCGCGGCCGCATCCAACAAACCACATTAGGACTTGAGTGTTTTACATGCCCTTCACCTGGTTGGGGCCCAGCTTGAGTGTGTTGGCCGAGAGGTGGTCGGATTGTGTCTCAAGCGCAACACTTCTCCTTGCCAAACCTGCTCTCTCCACCCGGGCACACGTACGCAGCAAAAGTGGCAACGTCTAGACAGTGCAGCAGTACACGGCTCACCTGTGTCACGGTCTTCATGGCGAACGACTGGCCGGGGAGGCTGGCGTACGACACGTCGTCCACTCGTCCGAACGACCCGTACCCAAGCGGTTGCGCGAGCACCATAGGCATGTCCGCGGTCTTCAGGGCATTGACCGCGAAGCTCTGCACCTGACCGGAGGCACACACTTCAGCGAGGTTGGCCAGGAAAAGGCGCCTGATGCTACCCCTTTGTCGCCATCCCTGCCCGACTTGCCTCGACAGACTCGTCAAAGCCGACTGACGAGTCTGCTCGTCAGCTCGGTCAGTCTGTCCCACGGACGGCGCGCGGATCAAGGGCCCGTCTCCCGGCCCGGCCGTCGACAGTAGCCCTCCCGCCGCGACCGTCGCGGATCGACCCTCCGGAATACACGGAAGAGCTTCACCCTCCGCCCGAACGCCTCGCGAGAAGGCCTGAAGACCCTGAACCGGCTTCAACTCCTCTCCCTTCACCTCCGTCTTGGCCTCTAACGCCATCGATGCGATGCTGCTGTCCCGAGCCCTCGCTGCTGACGGTCCCTTGCCTGCGGCGGTCCCCGACGGCGAGTTATCTAGGATGGAATTCAGCATCTGGACCCGCTTCATCGGTGGTCGCAACGGCGGACCCTTGCCTTCAGCCTTGGCCTCTAGAGTATGCGATGCCATGCCGTCCATGTTCTGCAACACAAGCTGCTCCTGTCGCATGCCGACGGCCACGTCTTCACATGTCTTGTCGTCCTTCGTCCAGAGGTGCTCCCCAACGCCAACCTGCCACCGGGCGACAGCAGCACGAGGATTTCGTTACAAGACAAAACGTTCGTTCATGGTCCACCAATCGACTCTTACTGCCGAAAGGCTATGCGAGGGGGGAGGGGACATTAACGAAGTGCGGCGCCGACAAAGTGCTAGCTCTCAATGTGTCAGGGAACACACAACAGCGGGGCATCACAACAGTGATCAGTACCTGAATGTGGACATTGCTGTTATCGTAAGCGGGTTTCATGCGGGAGGGACACGACTATATCGCCGCGCATTAGCTGGAGTCTAGTGCTGCCAGCCGAAAACACAAGGTGTAGCTGCTTTTTGCCGTGGTTCTCTGTACAACGGAAGCGATTCTCTGCAAGAAGAGATGTACCCTAAAATCGACCGTGTTTTCCTAGTGCGAAGACTCTTGCTGCATGGGCACAAGGTGTTGATACATGTCAGCGTAACACATAAAACAATCTGCATGTATCACCACCTCCCGTTGCGAGACCTCACCCCTTCCCCCTTCACCTCAAGACGGTGATCGAACATATCGACACGCCCCTCAGCCCGCATAGCACGGCCCTCCAAGCCCGTCGCCTCCGCCCGCATGCCCTGGTCTGCGGTAGCACCGATCGTCCTTCCGGAACAGACTTCGCCTGAGAAGCGTTCGTCCCGTGGCTTGCTCTCGATCCGACTAAAACCAGCGGCGGCCACGTACGAACCTTTCTCTTCGGCCATCCACCACCCGGCCGCACTCTCGCGGTGCCCCACCCGATCGTTGCCGGCCTGCATCCTCTCTCGCAGCATGATTGGTTCATGCTGCCGCCCTTCCTGGTGCTGACGGCTCGTCTCGCATGATTGACCAACTCGAGGCGCCGCCTCTCCCTCCTCCACGCCCCCCAGAAAGCCGAGAAGGCCGGCGGGTAGCAGAGTCCCCTGCTCTTGCCCCGCGTGTCCGGTTGTGAGGCTGGATGTGTGTGCCGACTCCACTACCTCTTTCTCCTCCACCTTCTCCTCTTCTTCACCAAGATATCCGAAGAGGCCCGTTGGCAACACTGCCCCACCACCCCCTTGCGCACGATCTCCAAAGCGTGCTGGGCGATGTGATGATTCTGCCTGCTCATCATGGCGGACTTCGGTGGTGTTGGCAGCAAGCGTCGCCATCAAGCCCACCGCGGCTTGTCGCCCCCCTTCTCCTCGGTTGTCTCCGATGGCGTCGGCAGGTAGACACGCCTCCCCCCCCCGATGGACGCCTCCAGAGCGTACCTCGGGACGCGGTACGACATCGGTGGCGGCGATGGTGGGCATCCGGACCTCAGCCACCCTCTCTTCCTCCACCTTTTCCTCCTCTTCACCCAAATATCCGAAGAGACCCGGCGGCAACACTACCCCGCCCTCCTGCTCGACATCCCCAAGGCCTGCCGGGAGGTGTGATAGGTCGAAGTCCTCACCATGGTCAAGTGTCGGCAGCAAGCCCACCGCGGCTTGCCGCCCCCCTTCTTCTCCTCCGCTGTTGTCTCCGATGACGTCGGCAGGTAGACACGCCTCCCCCCCCTGATGGACACCTCCAGAGCGTACCTCGGGACGCGGTACGACATCGGTGGCGGCGATGGGGGGCATCCGGGCCTCAGCCACCTTCTCTTCCTCCACCTTTCCCCCCTCTTCACCCAAACATCCGAAGAGACCCGGCGGCAACACTACCCCGCCCTCCTGCTCGACATCCCCAAGGCCTGCCGGGAGGTGTGATAGGTCGAAGTCCTCACCATGGTCAAGTGTCGGCAGCAAGCCCACCGCGGCTTGCCGCCCCCATTCTTCTCCTCCGCTGTTGTCTCCGATGACGTCGGTAGGTAGACACGCCTCCCCCCCCTGATGGACACCTCCAGAGCGTACCTCGGGACGCGGTACCACATCGGTGGCGGCGATGGTGGGCATCCGGACCTCCGCCACCCTCTCTTCCTCCACCTTTCCCCCCTCTTCACCCAAATATCCGAAGAGACCCGGCGGCAACACTGCACCTCCATCCTGCTCGACATCCCCAAGGCCTGCCGGGAGATGTGATAGGTCGAAATCCTCACCACGGTGAAGTATCGGTAGCAAGCCCACCGCGGCTTGATGCGCCCCTTCTTCTCCTCCGCTGTTGTCTGCGATGCCATCGGCAGGTAGACACGCCTCTCCCCCCTGATGGACACCTGTAAGGGGTACCGCAGGATGCGGTACCACATCGACGGCCGCGATGTTGGGCATCCGTACAACCGCCACTCTCTCCACCTCTTCTACACCATCCTCCAAGACACGGTTGAGGCCAGCATGATGTGGTGTCGCCGCAACGATCGCCGCTGCCCCATCCGGAACTCCAACACGACCAGGGGGTGACCGTACTCGCGCCTCACGCTGGAGACCCCCACAACCGACGGCGGGAGAGGGCGCCCGCCTACCTCGCCGGCCATCACCGCTGGTGTTGACAACGATTGCTGGAGCCTCCGCGGCCGATCCCTCCTCGATCTCTTCAAGGGTTTGGTTCAGGACAGCGGGACGTACTACCACCGCTCTTGCCGCTCCTGCCACAGCCCCTCCTTCGGGACCTCTGATGGGAACAGGTGGCGGCGGGTCGCGTGCCCCTTCCTCCTCATCTCTGAGGTTAGCCGCTACGGCCGTTTCGTCGGCGGCTCGTGTCTGCCTTGCCGGTAGCTTGCCCTTGTACCACCTCCAGGTACACAGGGCGAACACCAACACCAGTGCAAGAGGTAAACAGGCCTGGAAAGCGGCGGCCAGGCAGTGCAACAGCGGTGAAGCAGCGATTGATTTTCGAATTTTCCAAGGCTTAGACTGAAAGCGAAGTGTGGCGAAGGTCACCGTGACATGGGACTTGCTAGCAGTCCAGATAACTTGCCTTTTCTTCTTGCGGATTTATAGGTATACGTTCCGCAACATGTGGTGAAAGTTCTAAAGCGGTTATTCAGGAGACTGCGGGCCTGCTGTCACTAGTTCGTTGTTAACCGGAGTCGTGACTTTACATTCAAGAAGCAAGACGCTGTTTGTGTCCGCCAATGTTCATTCTGGACGTCGGGGTCACACAGGAGGAAGGCAAGACCAAGGATTTTTTTCATTCATTTTTCCCCTCCTTTTTTTACGTTGCTTTCTAACCTCTCTCGCGAGAGCACACCTCAGCCGTTCCTTTCCCTCTTCAAGCAGTACGTCGAATTGTCACACGAACTAATCGCTGTCCGTATTTGTTTGTATTTGTTTGTGCATCCCTACGAGGAAGAATGGGTCAGTTCGTGTAACTGCGGCGAGTTTGACCTCATGATCCAGACGTCACAATCCACTGCTTCTTTGTCACCTCGGCGTTTTTTCTCAAGAGGGGAGCCTGGGTCCTCTTTTTGTTGGTGTCGGCGGGAGCGATTCGGTCCTCGGGCAGCTGACGACGCCACCTGCAATGAAGGCGATCAAACATTAGGAGTGAAAGCGGTTCGAAGACCGTTGCGAAAACAGACGGGCGAACATAGCAGTGTGTTGCAAACTTTAAGGGCGCGGGGGGGATCGCAGTACTTCCTCTTAAAAAAAACAGGAAACGCCCGGAAACGCCTGCATATCTCGGTTTTCCAAAGTCTAACTCCAGCACGAAACTACCATCGTAAATTAACCGTCCGCAGCGGTCGCTTGTGTACAATGTTAGTCGCTGAGGCTGTACCCCTTGCGATACACTACAGACTAGCGGTCCGCGATTTTCCAAACGATCCTTCTATCATCGAGCTCGGTGAGTGTGTACAAGCTAGATTTTTGAAGCTGCTGTGCGGTCCAATTTTGAAACGCTTCAAGCACACGGTGAACACGAATCACCGCCTTATGTGAGTGTATGGGGCCGCGAACTTCAGCGCAGCTCTTCCCTCACATATCCAGCTGGCCGCCATTGTCGATTTGAATGCCTAGGGTCATGTATATGCATGTCCAGCCTTTAGGCAAAGGTGCTTGAAGCGTTTCAAAATTGGACCGCACAGCAGCTTCAAAAATCTAGCTTGTAGCTCACCGAACTCGATGATAGAAGGATCGTTTGGAAAATCGCGGACCGCTAGTCTGTAGTGTATCGCAAGGGGTACAACCTCAGCTACTAACATTGTACACAAGCGACCGCTGCGGACGGTTAATTTACGATGGTAGTTTCGTACTGGAGTTAGAATTTGGAAAACCGAGATATGCAGGCGTTTCCTGGATTTTTCAGAGGAGGTACGGCGATCTCCCCCGCGCCCTTAACTTTAGCTTGCTTGGTTTGGGTTGAAGAAACCGACCATCGCGATGTGTCATGCGGAGACACTTTTTTCATAACTCACGCATCTACGTTTGCAACTGCGCTCTTCCTTTTCTACCCTTGATTAGTGGCGTGCAAATGTAAGGCATTCATGCTACGCTACTCATTTTAGCCTACGACGGCTGCCGCAGCACTACTGTACTGCAATCCGCTCCTCAATCTGCGGTGGAACCTCGTGTTTGAATGCCTGAGAAAAATCGGCCACACTCACCCTGTTGTGTGCCACGATCGGTATGGCAGCACCATGACCCCGGACATCGGCCGCAAACCACCAAGCCTCCATCTTGGGTGCCCTGAAGTAGCTGCCGCTACTTTCGCTGTGGCTGGCGCCTACGAGAGGAAGAAACATGAAGGTTGGAACGGTTGGACCCTTTTGGTGCTGCCTTTGGCAACTGGGTTGTTGGTTGTTGGGAGTTCTAGAGGGTGGGAAACTTGAATTTTCGAATATTGCGCCGCATGTTCCCTTTCGGACCGAGCCGCTGAAACGGACGCCCTCTCTCTCGACCAGGAACCGGGCCTCCCTCTCTCTCCTTCCCCCTGGGAGATCACGTTAGAAGTCCACTTGCTGCTGGTGTTTGCTCGTAGCAGGAGCAGAATATCGGGGTAAAGAGCTACCGTACGTGTAGTCGAATGATGATGCAGTATGTAGAATTCCCTCCGCGGGCGTGTCCCACAACTGCTGTTGGCACGCTCACTCTCTGGGTGACGCGTTTTATTGGCTATTTCTTGGTTTTGTAACGTACTCCTAAAAACACGATGCCCTCTCACGACTTTCAAGCAGAAGAGAGGGCTGATAAAAGTCTGAGTCACAAGTCTTTACAGCGGGGCTTCTTCCCACCACCACCTCAGCGGGCAGCAAGTCCTCTGCCCGTGACACGTACACAATTGGGGGCTTCGACAGCGCGCCATAGTATACTGGGGCGTGGTGCTCAATGGAAACGCCACCCACAATTCAACATGTAGGTAGATCTAAGATGATGCGTCGTAAAACCGAGCACATTGCTTCACAAAACTTCCAGTATTCCCCCATACCTTATGAGCAGCCTCTAAACTAGGGTGCCCGCTCGCTTCGGCTGAATGACAACATACACACAACGAGGGCGTGCTGTGGAGGAGATCAATTGTCATCTAGACTATGTAGTCTACACGTAGAGCTCATCTCCTACACAACAACTGCCAAGTACATGTAGACCATCAGCGAGGCGAGAACTGAACACAAAGAGGAAGACAGAACCAGCAATAACAGGCGACGGAGGCCCGAACACGAACATGAGTAGAGGCCTCCGCAGACACGTGCACGTCTCTTCATCTACTACCTTTTCTGCAGCTAAACAGACTAATCAGGACAGCGACCTGTAGCTTCCTCCGCAACCCCTTCCTCACTGGATTCCCGATCATGACCTTTTGGAGCGTTTTCCTTTTCTTGGCCGAACTGAGACTGTTTATCGACCGTCAGCTGGATAGCACGGTCGATGCTAACGATGACGGCACGCCCCAACGAACGTCACCCATACCCTGTACTAACCCTAACTCTCTCTACATTTTCGGCGAAACAGCCATACACCTCAGGACAACGTTGTCCGAAGTTGAGGCGAGGTACGTCAACTCAGTTGTTAGCGTAAGATCACAACGTATGGAGGAGGCGAACACGGAGCCAATCCATGCGTGATGGAGCTCGCTCCACGTGCTTACCTCGTTGTCTTTCTCCAATTCTTTCGCCTTCTTCATCGCGCCAAAGGAAAACCATTGGCGCCGTTCTCCCGTCTGGCTATTGTCATCGCCAGAGGCAGCTTTCCGCCGCCATATGCGCATGACGTTGACCGAGTTGTCGTTGTCAACTCGAACCCCACGAAGTAGCCCGTGGTGTCCAAACAACCTCGAGTGTATGCGGCTCAAGCGTCTGCTCCACGTGCTTTGTAGCTTTTGACCTGCTGACAATGCTTGCGCTGTCTTCGCGCCCGCTCGAACGATTTTTGAGAAAACGATGTGACCGATTGGACCGCTTCCTGTGTCTACAGCATGGGTTATGTGCCTGTTCGTTTTCAAATTACAACGACTCATTATTTCCTCCCAAGTGGCGGGAAACTGACAACATAACACGCCTACAGTATTTCCATGGACTCCATGAAACAGCAATTCGGCGACTCTGTCCTCTTGCTGTTCGTAGGACCGCCTGGGGTGTTCTCCCTTTTCCATGATTGCGACCAACAAAGTTCATGAGCTTCCCTTGAAGGGCACGGAAGACGAAGCCTTTGATAGAGGTCAAGCGAATTTGATGTTGGGACAGCAACGTCAACATCATCATCGAGTACGGAGGGAGCAAACCCGTAGATGGGCAGAGCCACCAAAAGACCAATAAGATTACTGGCGGGCAGCTTTTCAGGCAAGTTCAGTGTGGCAGCCGATAAGTGATGCCCCAGGTTGTACAAGTACGCTGGTCTTTCGAGGAACCATTCGTATTTGTCCTGGGAAGAGATCGTTGCGACGCACTCTTGCCGGACGCTTGGAGGAGGAAAATTGGAGTTCGAATGCGGATCTATCATCTTGATGCCGCAGCGTTGTGGTGAATGAGCGGGTGTACTCCAAGCAGGGGTATGTGCGCCTCGTGGGGTGGGGGCTATTCATGGCCGGCGGCACCTGGGTTTTAGCGATTGTCACGTCATTTTGGATACAGGTGTGTGTTGGACTACGTACATAGGACACAAATCATCGTTTTTACATGATCACAAGCACCACGAAGTGGTATCCGTGTTATGGGCGGTGAACAGCTTGAGGTAGGGGATGGATGTAGGGGGTGTGGGACGTCATTCACATGTGTTGATTGTGATCACACATCCATCCGGATCCTTGCCTTGTGCTCCGTATTTGACAAAGGCTTGGTCGCGCAACAAAGGGTTGAGCCGGGGTTCAGTTGTTCACCTCGTCGACCCATCTGACTCTGGGATGTGGGTTCCAATTCCTCCGCAGTGAAAATCGTACAGTCGACAATACCGACAGCGAAGATGGAAGGGACTGCCGAACCCTTCTCGCGCTGAGTTTCAAGGTGAGCACTGCAAGAGGAAATATGAAAGAAGAAAACCTCCTGTGCACACCTTCCCCATGTGTGACTCAGGGTGGTCCGATAAACGTGAACCGAAAGGTGCGAACAGGCGCCCAGAACACACGGGACGAAAGCACACACACAACCCGGATGTCAACTCTACCCAGATTCGACTGGCAACGGATAGCCCTTGCCAATGTGCGGTTGAGCAGCGCTCTCGCACCGAAGTTTGACTGACTAGCCTAGTGTCGGCATGCTTGGTCTAGGGGATATGTAGCTCCTCACACCCAAAACAAGGCTTTTGAAGGCTCGATTTCCAGACCACATTCTCCGGGGGATATCCCCCCTTGCAATGCTGTGAACAAGAGAAATCTCCGAAGATATCTCCAACATCCATCCACAATACTTTACACAACCTACACCACCGAAACAAACACCACATCGTGGTGATGCAGAATCACGCACGCGGGCCGGAGGACCAAACCGAAGGAAAATGAAAGCCGGTCGTGCCAGGCGCAAGGCAGATACTCTTCCCATCAACAACGTAACAAACTAATCTACCGAAACGAACGATACACAAAATACAATCCACAACCCTTTTTCCTACGCCGAGTCGGCAAATCGTTTTCGTTCGGGCCGAGCATGTTCCGTCTTAGGAAACCGAGCGGGCTCTTCCCCCTCGAATGCCGCCGTCCCGAAATCGGCCGACAACCCGCAACACTCCGACGGTCACCACGACAGCTGCTGTGCCCGCGATGACCATCCACCGCCGCTCCTCCGAGAAGACTGACGAGAACCGTTCTGACGCCGCCACGAGCACATTCTCCAGCCGCGACTGCCGGCCGAAGCCGTAGAGGCGGTGGTCCTTCATGTACCGCAGGACAGAGGTCTCTACCGCCAGCGTTCCTTCCAGGAGCTGTGTTCATGTAAACAAAAAAAAAACGCCCGACAAATCAAGACAAGGTTGAGAATCGAGAGAAGAGACGAGCGCTTGATTCGGTGGGAAACAAATAAAAAGCAGTAATAGGAAAGGAAGAAACGAGGAGACGAGTGCTTGGTTTTCGGTGCGAAAGAAATAAAGGCAGAAAACGGAAAGGGGGCGCATACACCCAGAGCTAGGAGGGGTGGGGTGACAAAGGTCGACCAGAACGTGTCGATTGAAAACGGATACGCGGAGTTGAACGCAGCCGGTTGCATTTGATACATGAAACGTGGCCTTCGAGCATGGGTGTGTCTCTTATACGACGCTAGCAGGACAGACATGTTGTAGATGTTTTGACTACACCTCTTCCTTGTCCTGCTGTCGTCTTCCATGCAGGTGCTCTAACATCGAATAATATGTCGAAAGCATGGGACGTGGATCCGACCGCAACGGCACACGTTCTCGGATCGACACCCAAATCGTCACAGAAGGACGGTCAATGATGGTTTGAGCGACAGACCAAAACCACAGCAGCTTCGGCGGCCAATCAGATAGTTGTGCATATCTCCTCCTCCTCCTCCCTCATCCCTACCCCCCTCCCTTCTGGTGTGTAAAGAAAATCTCACATCTTCCGCTCTTGCGTCCCGAATTTTTGTCGAGGAGACATCCGTGAGCAAGGGCGGGTGGTGCAACTCTACTCCAGAGAGCAGATTCTCCGTCTCGGGCCGCACTCCCATTCCTGCCACCCGGTGGAGTCAAAGGTGCGGCGAATACAACATGTCACGTGCATAATGAGGGACTGAAGGGGGGGTACCGTGATGCCGGCCCATTGCTAGCTATGCGTAATCCCACCAAGCACAGACAGGGATGAGCGGTGGGTGGAGAGCAGGAAGTGGTGGGAGAAAACGCTAATGGATAAAATAACTTGGCAACGGGAATTCAAGGTGCCAATAGTTTACACGTGACAAGCAATAGTTGGTATACAAATAGTCACAAAACGCCGTGCCGCACAAAAACCTCCGAAGACGTGACTGCTGCCGTGGTGTAAACCGCAGTTGAAGCAGAACATCGTCTACAGCACAAACCACTGGGAAACGGTACTCCTACCACACATTGGTCCTCCGCACCTGCCCAGCAATGTAGCAAACCCTCCAAAAATATCAGGGCTTTCTTCGTTAATTTCTCCGCGGTAATTTTACTGCGGTAAAACCACGGTAATTACCGTTTCCCGCGATCCCGTGAAAAATGAGAATTACCGTTATCGCCCAAACCGTTAACGAACAAATTGAGTTTTCTCATTACCGTACAAGAGTTTACCGCGCAAATATCGCTTTTCCCGTGCTTTCAAGTTACCGCGGAGTACATTACAGTACCGTAAGAGCAATAAGAGCCCAATTACCGCACAGAAACACCAAGTGGACTCCTGGGGAAGTCATGATAAAATGGACGCTGCCTCTCTGCGCGCACAGGTGCGTCCAATCGGCCCATAGACCTCTGTTAACGGAGGGTTCGAGTCCATTCATCTCTTTTTTCGCGTGTCATCTCTTTTCTTTTTCTTGAAGTTTTTTTCGGGGAATGTGTTTTTTTTTTGCCGTTCAGACGTGTCTTAAAGTGGTTTACTTACAACTTATATAGTTACCTTACAAAATGCACATTTCTGTGCAATACCGTGGTGGCTGTTTACCGCACAAGAAAATTATCGTGGTGACCAGTTGCCGTACGGAATTACCGTGGTGACCAGTTACCGTACGGGATTTACCGTGGTGGCCAGTTACCGCCCAAATATTACTGTACTTGTGCCGTGGTGGCCAGTTAACGCCCAAAAAATACTCCATTGTTCCGTGGTTTCTGGTTAACGCGGGAAATGATGCCGGCATGAAAAACCGTTAACGAAGAAAAACCTGAAAATTATCATGGGTGCCATTTCAGGCAAACGTTCAATACCAAGTGGAAAAGCGCTAGTTCATGTGTTCAGTTTGAGAGAAGAGGGTGCTGCACTCTTCTCGCATTCAAAATCTAAGGCAAGCACAGGCGCGCCCTCAGGGAGAGCAACCCTTCTGTATGACCACGGATTGGAGCTACCCGACAGACATGCTGTGAGCGCTGATTTAAAAGCAGAAGTAGAAGTACAACAAAAAAGAGACAGCAGTGTCTCAACTCGATACAAATGAGCTGACGTGACTTACTATCGACGATGGCCAAGGACACCATGTTCATGAGCTCCTCGGACTTGCGCCACTTCCCCTTGCGGAGGTCTTGGTACGTGTCCGTCCCGAGCAGCAACGAGAACTGTTGGCGCGACGCACCACCGGCAAAACACGGCGAAAGCAGTGGGGATTTCCCGAATAAGGAGATCGTGGGGCAGCTGATACTGACCGCCTAATATGGGGCAGCCACCTGTATTCCATGTGTAGAAAAAAATGATTATTCCGCCTATACCAGCAAATTTCACCCGCCTTATGTAGGGCGACCGCCGTACTCAGACCACCCGTTTTAGGGACCTCCACTGTAGGCTACACAACGAGGAAGGGGGGACGGGGGCTATAGGGAGGGGGCAGGGTAACCTTCATCGAAGGAGAGGGGGGGTTGGGGGGGTTGAAGAAGTTCTAAAAGCTTCACTTGTACGTGAGAGTTCATGACGCATTCCAGCGTATGAGGCAAGCAAACAACCGGTATCTCTTTACCTCAACGTCGGGGTGTTGCTTCTTCAGGTAGACCACCACGTCGTAGGTGCTTGACCGCGCTGGCCTATTGGTTTCATGCCACGAAACCCGTGTGTACAGAGGTCAGGGGAGGGGGTCGTGAAGCCATCGCGCGCGCTTTCTGTTTGCACAAGGCAAAGGGTACGCGTTTACCACCCATCGGAAGGTGCCAACTTTGGAACCACCCTACTCGCGCGGCATGCTGCAGCGGATGGCCCGCGTTTACGCCAGTTGAGCCGGGTTCCGAAACCTCCCGGGGGGTGGAATCTGCTCAAGAATTACCCCGCACCATTAACGTCCTGCGTAACGGTGAACACGCCTTGCCGAGACAAGGGGAAAAACTTGCATCAACTGCACGATCTTGCGGACATTCTCTCTAAAGCTGCCGGAAGGGCGGGAGCGAAACGTTGAAGCGGGGCACCAAGCCTCACCCGGTCCCTCGAGAGTTGAGCATCTCCGCGAAAACCTCCTGCTCCGTTCTTAACACGCGCACCCTGCAGCTCGCCGTGGAGTAGCTTTCGAAGGCGAGCCTGGGCAGGGGAATCGGCCGCCGAAAGAAGACGTGACTTCGATTTACTATCCGCTATGAGCCGACGACGAAGAGAAAACCACAGCGACGGGCATGACGTAAGGCAGAGCGCAAGGATCAGAGGTTCCCTTATCACCTGCACATCTCTATTCTGTCCTCGTACGTCGGAGCGCCCGTCTTCGCCATTGCTTTTCTCTTGGCCGAGAACATGTGCTGGTACACCGGGAGGACCCAGATCTCGCTGAACCGTGCTGAGCGCTCCGCCGTGTGCGATCGCACGTTCGGTTTCGAAAGTTCCGTTTTTGTTTCCGTCGGAGATTAGATGGAGGGAGGGGGGCGGACGGGGAGAGGGAAGGAGGGGAGAGAGAGTGAGAGAACCAGCCCGTCAGCTGTGTGAGCTGTTGAGCTTGGGAAACGTCACACCGCAGCTGGCAGTCAGCTGTTGGTTGGTCCTGCTGCCTGCTGTATTTTCATCTTGCGTCACCCCTTGATGACACTGCTGTGCTCTCGTGCGCCCACTCCGGATGAACCACTTGTATCAAATAAAGTTTTCGTTTTTCCACACAGAAACATAACGCCCAGCGTGGTCGCAACGGCAACACACATACGCACGTGCACACAGGGGCAGAGGCAGGCGGCAGGCAGGCAGGCACGCAGGCAGGCAGACAGGCAGGCTGGCAGGCAGGCAGACAGACAAGACAGACAAGACAGACAAGACAGGCAGAGAAACCTGGGTCTTCTCTACAACGTTTCCCCACAGAGCTGACCAGGGCTGCTTACAAGGTGTCAACGCTCGCACATCAGCAGCAGTGGAAATCCTGCTGTCTACGGAACGGACACGCTCATCTGCAACTTTTGCACGCGGGGGAGTTGTGCAGATCTCTCCTCCCTGCAGTGAAACAGGAAAAGCCTGACGCTATTTCGTTTTGCAACCTTAACTTCGGTACTATGCTACATTCCATAATACACATCTATTACCGCGATAAAGGCCTCCCTTCGCACTTTTCGTGCGTGACTAAACGGTAGTACCGCAGTAGATAGGTTCCCAAGTCTGTGCGCACCAGTTGAACACTTATTAATAGTGTACCGCCTGAGGCTAGACTTACTGCTGTGCACGACCCCATGGCTTCAAATCGATCACAGCGATGAGTAGGGTATGTGAACTAAGAGTCATGTCGAAATTGGTGGTGCTCACAGGCACTCACGCAGGCTCTGAGTTGCAGTCACTGCCGTGTGCTTTGAAGCGTTCGAGAACCAAAGAAATCGCTTGCTACGACCTATTTTGAGGTCGCTGAAGAGGCACCGACCCGCATAACTCCCAGACGACATTTGTTTCACATCAGAGTTAGAAGTATCACAAAGTGGGAGACATTCTACTGCATGCTCTGCATCCATGTAGACGCGGGCCTTGCCAAAGGTCAGTGTTGGTACAACCCGGGCCCCAGCACATGTTGAAGAGTCGCTGGTCGTTGCCACGTTTGAACTCTGCATGGTCATGTCTCGCGTAGAACGTAGGGTACTCAATTCAAGCACACATCACATCGGTACGAGTTCAAAAATGCATTGATTGGTGTGGTGCACACAGCAGTAGAAGTTCTTCTACACGGGGCAGGCACTGGAAGAACTGCACCCGACAACGTACAGTAACACACACACACCTAGGTTGACGAAGTACTCAATCATGCCGCCGTGCCCATCTCGGCCTGTCGGGGGGTTCCCTGATAGTCCAAACAGCAGAACTTTCTGCATCTCTGACATGTTCTCGATATACCCGAGAGAGAGGTGCAATAGAATCGAGTGTAGCGCAGCTAGGATATCGTTTCCACGCACTACAGGCTACTGCTGCGGCGGTGGCGTGCTGCTGTGTCATGCAAGGTCAGGTGGTGTGCGACGTGCGGCGTAATTGGCGTGGGTCTGAGCAAATATTTAGGTCGGTAGGCGAAAGGCAAGATAGCAGCCGCGGGTCCCCTCGTGTTCTGGTCGCATGGACAGTGGACTGCTGTGGAGCCACACACAAGCGGACAAGGACACAAGGGAGAGGGCGTACCAGAGGCCCAACTCACACGCCAGGCGCAAGGATGCCTATCAGATCATGGTTCCCGAACATGGTGATGGCGATGATTTCCGGTGAGAAAATGGTTGCCGGGAACCCCATTTCCACCGCATGTTGACTTGAGTAGACCTATCTACAGCAGTCTACAGTATAAGCCTATGATATGCATGTCATCAACCAATCCTTGTCTCCACGCTGCACAACGAGCCCGAGTGTAGAGTGTAGAGCCCTCCGCTGTGCGTTACAGACGACATGAGTTTCTCAGTCACGTGGAATTCCAACAGATGCCCTTAGTGGTACTCCTTAGGGGGGACAGGGAGGGAAACGGGCGGAGACAGACGTGGAATAACACCGGGGTTGCGTGCCTACAGCATACGGCCTACGGGGGCCAGCAATGTGTATAGAACAGCAACTAGTAGGCGCGCCACCGAGGAACTTCCTATTTTCGCAACCCTGGGGTTCTCATAAATCAGCAGCTACGTA